GGGCTTCTACATCCATAGTAGCCAGGATGGTGTTATCAGGAAGATCAGCGATGGATTGAAGTTTCCTCAGGAAGTCAGTGGTGTCTCGAAGATAGCTGGGAGTGCTGGTAGCGTAGGGCCTGAGGAGGGAGTCTACATAGCCAGACAATCCTGCTGTCAGGGTGCCAATGCCTGAGATGATGGGGCGCCCAGGATTTCCAGGTTTATGGATCTTGGGTAGTAGATAGAATATCCCAGGTTGGGGTTCCAGGGGTGTGTCTGTGCGGATTTGATCTTGTGCTTTTTCAGGAAGTTTCTTGAGCAAATGCTGTAGTTGCTTTTGGTAACTCTCAGTGGGATCATAGGGTAATGGCTTGTAGAAACTCGTGTTGGAGAGCTGCCGAGCAGCCTCTTGTTCATATTCCGACCTATTCATGATGACAACAGCACCTCCTTTGTCAGCCTTTTTGATTATGTCGTCAGAGTTGTTTCTGAGGCTGTGGATGGCATTGCGTTCCACATGGCTGAGGTTATGGGGCAAGTGATGCTGCTTTTCCACAATTTCAGCCCGTGCACGTCGGCGGAAGCACTCTATGTAGAAGTCCAGTCTGCTGTTTCGACCTTCAGGAGGAGTCCATCTAGAATCCCTCTTTCTGTAGTGTTGGCAGGGAGACCTCTGTGGATTAGTATGTTGTTCTGAATGGTGTGAGAACGCCCCCACGTAGTGCAGACTGCTCTCACCCAACCAGGAGGCGGGAAAGGCCAGGAGCACTGGAGCGAGGGCTCTGCATCAGGAAGAGAAGGATGCAACTTTCCTGCCAAGTGCAGATAATAAAATAGCGTCGTCCTGAGAAAAGCTGCAGCCCACAGAGGCGGAGGATCCCGCCAGGCCATAAGCCTTTGAAACAAACAGCTGGATGGGCTGCAATAGCCTCCATCGTTCTCCCCAACCTGAACAGGGGGTGTGTGGCACCTAAGAGACTAACAAGGTTATTGGAGCATCAGCTTTTGTGGGCTACAGCTCACCTCATCGGATGCATGTGTTACCCGTCGGATGCCACTTATATGGTGGTGACCAAGAGGATTTGCTGCCCTGCCCCACAGGGTGATGGGGCTGCAACACCCCCTGTGGGAGAAGCCAACACTTGTGTTGAAAAACAAAATGAAAGCCAAAACCTCAAATAAATGTGTTCGTCTCTAGGGTGCCACAAAGCCTCCTGTTCTTTTTGCGGATACAGACTAACAGGGCTGCTGCTCTGAAACCTGTCTTTCTCCCAGTTACTTCCCCCACACTGATTCATACAGACAGCTTGGATTATGGAGAACAGAACTCTGTATGGAACAGAGAAGGGGCACTGTGAACAGTTTAGAGAGTAATTTTATGCAAGTTTGGTTCAGTTCTGCAATTTAACCAGGATGTGTGCTTGCTGGCTCTATGCAAGGGCCTCACAGAAAGCACAATGCCTGAAAGCAACAGAATGGGAGTGATGCAGGCAAATGGACCTATCTCCAGAAGCCAAAGTCCCAGAGCCAGAGGAGAGAGAAAGAACTAAAGGAGAATAGGTTCTAAAGTAACTAAGAGAAAGCTGCATGAACCTGCTAAAAAATAGAGAGAGAGAGCACGCGCGCGCTATTTGCTGAGGAGGGAGAAGTGTCCAACACCAGCTATGGCCAGGAAAGGAGCAATGGGGGCCAAATGTGTCACATCATCAAGACTTGGTGGACTTCAGTGTGACTGCTACTTAATACATCAAAGAGCCATTTCAGTGCCAATCTGCCCCCCCCCTTTGTTTTCTCCACTAGTTATACACTTAGATGAGCTGTCCCTAACCCCCCCCCCCCCCTTACTTGTCTGTGTCCCCACACCGGGGCAGTGGGGGGAGGAGGGAAGAAGAGAAAGAGGAGGAGGAACAGCGGTAAGGTGGTTAAGGCTAAGGCCAGGTTTGTGGCCGGGAGAGGTGCCACAGCCAGGGGCCAAGGCTGGAGCGGGAGCAGAGCTGCAGCCAGGTGCGGCTCCGCTCCCGGCTTTGCCCCCAGCATTGGTCCCAGGTAGGGAATGGAGCCACGACCAGCGGCTAGTGTGGGGACGGGAGTAGAACCACACCAAGGCCGGGACCAGGGATGCAGCTGGAGGCAGGATCAGAGCAGAGCAGGGGAGGGCTTCATGGCGCTCCCTCCCCACCCCTGGGCAGGGTTTCTTGGGCTGCACCCCCCCCCCCCCCGACACTCCTCCATGCCTCCCTAGAGAGGTTGCACCCCACACTTTGGGGACCCTCTGGCTTACACTGTAAGCTATTTGGGGGCAGGGGCTTGTTATTTCCTGCACACAGTGCCCAGCCCAATGAGGAATCAATTCCTGATTGGCACCTCTGGACACAAAGGCACACCCCAGTTCAAATGTGGGGTGACATTTTACACAGTGCCACAAACATGATCACTAGAACAAGGACACTGGCTAGGCTGGTAGACGGAGGCACCTAGATGCTGCTTTGGATTGTGTGGGCAAGTAATGCTACCCCACCCCCTCTTCCGACCAGACAATGTACTGGAGTGTAGAAGAACAAGGATCCTGCTGTCCGAGCCCAACAAAGCCCTGGATAAGAACAGGAGGGGGTGTTACATGCAGTCAGAGAAATAACTGCAGAAAGAACCCTGCTGGAGCTTGGGTCTGGAGGGTTGCCCAACAGGACAGGAATGTGTTGTGGGTTTTGTTTGTTTTTTTTAAGTAAGTCTGTCTCCATGCTAGATTTTAAGCAAGTGTCACTGCCCAGGGTGGGGGGTAGAGGGGTGAGTGATATCAAGATCGCCCTCAGATAAGGCATTGTCAGAGAGACAAGAGGCACTGAACCAGGAGGCAGGAACTCTGCCACAAGCTTCCTGCAGACCCACACACCACTCACCTCAACTCCATTTGCCTCAGTTTTCCTCTCAAAGAGGTATTGCACTTGTACTTCCCTCTTTTGGTTTGGCTGTTTAGACTGTGAGCTCTCTGGGGCAGAGGCGGTCTCTTAGTAGGCATTTGTACACAGGGTTAGTGTAGCCGTATTGGTCTCAGGATATTAGAGACCAGGCGGGCGAGTGGATCTTTTATTGCAGTGGTTCTCAGCCCTTACAGACTACTCTACCCATTTGAGGGGTCTGCTTTGTCTTGCGTACCCAAAGCATCACCTCACTTGAAAACAACTTGCTTACCATATCAGACATTGAAACACAAAAGAGGCACAGCACGCTATTACTGAATAATGGTCGAGTCTCATTTTTACCATGCAATTATAAAATAAATTGTTTGGAATATAAATATTGTACTTACATTTCAGCACATAGAGCAGTATAAACAAGCCCTTGTCAGAATGAAATTTGAGTTTGTACTGACTTCATTAGTGTTTTATGTGGCCTGTTGTAAAACTAGGCAAATATCTAGAGGCGTTGATGTACCCTCTGGAAGACCTCTCCGGACTCCTGGTTAAGAACCACTGTTTTGGAGGACTAATGTGTGCCAGCAAGAGAGACAAGCTTTCAAGCTCCACAGAGCTCTTCAAGTTTGGAAGAGCTATTCAGAGGGCGTGTCTACACCACGCGGCTTTTAGCCGCAAGGCTGTGTCCACACGGCCTTGTCACTAAAAGTCAGCATGTGTAAATGCTCCTTAGTGGCCCTGTTGTTGACACGATACCGCCCGCTCGCTGCGCTGGAGTTAGCTTTGTCACACTGCCATTTGCAAAACTTTTTGTCTTTCAAGTGCGGGGGGGGGGGGGGGTGGAGGCTTAAGTACCTGCGAAAGAAAAAGAAAAGGAGTACTTGTGGCACCTTAGAGACTAACCAATTTATTTGAGCATGAGCTTTCGTGAGCTACAGCTCACTTCATCAGTTCTGGTTTAACTTGGATTTAAACCTGGAGAATGGTCAGTTTAGATGAGCTATTACCAGCAGAAGAGTGAGTTTGTGTGTGTATGGGGGTGGGGGGGATGTGAGAAAACCTTGATCTATGCAGGAAATAGCCCGACTTGATTATGTAAAGAGTTGTCACTTTGGATGGGCTAGCACCAGCAGGAGAGTGAATTTGTGTGTGGGGGGTGGAGGGTGAGAAAACCTGGATTTGTGCTGGAAATGGCCCACCTGTTGATCACTTTAGATAAGCTATTACCAGCAGGACAGTGGGGTGGGAGGAGGTATTGTTTCATGGTTTCTGTGTGTATATAAAGTCTGCTGCAGTTTCCACGGTAAACATCTGATGAAGTGAGCTGTAGCTCACGAAAGCTCATGCTCAAATAAATTGGTTAGTCTCTAAGGTGCCACAAGTCCTCCTTTTCTTTTTGCGAATACAGACTAACACGGCTGTTCCTCTGAAACCTGCGAAAGAAAAGTTTTCTTCACAGAAGGAATTACCGCACCCGACGAAGTGGGCTGTAGCTCACGCTCAAACAAATTGGTTCGTCTCTGAGGGCCACCAGTCCCCCCGTTCGTTCGTCACAGCGCAGCCCCAGGCAGGGCGCCTCAGCGCGGTACGAGGAGCCGGGGGGCTTGGGGCACGGGATGAAGTGGGCTCTCGCCCAGGCAGGCGGAGGCTCCGGCACCTGGGTTAGTCTCCAGGGTGCCACAAGCCCCCCGGTTCTTCGGGCGGGTGCAGACGGACCCGGCCGCTGCTCGGGCACCTCTCGGCGCAGCGCCCACGGCGGCCGGTCTCCGCGGGGCAGATAAACCCCCCCGCCCGTATTTCGCGGCGCGGGCGCCGGGGCAGCTGAGGCGCCAACAGGCGGGCTCGTCTCCGAGGTGCCCCGAGGCCGCGGGCTGGGCTTGCGGCGGCCCCGAACCGGCTGCGGCGGGGACACTCTGGGGGGGGGGGGGCAGCGCAGGAGCCGCGGCCTGCTCGCGCCCCGCCAACCGGCGCCGGGGGGGGCGGTTCGCCCCCAGCAGCGTTCTCCCTTCCGGCCCCCCCGGCCCCGGGTCTCCCTCAGGCCCCCGCGGGGGCGGGGCGGGGTTGGACCGGACCGGACCGGACCCCCCCCCCCGGCCGCGCACCTACCTGCCGCCCCGGCGCGCAGCGGCTCCTCGGGTCCCCGCCGCCATCTCATACCTGCCGCTCCGCTTCCCCATTGGCCCTCCGCGCCCCAGCCCCTGCAAAGCGATTGGCTGGAGCGAGCGCCGTCCCGGGGCGGGGCCCCCAAAGGGCGGGGCCGCCATTGGCCGGTTCGAATAGTCAACAGACGACCCGCGCGCTGGCCGGGCGGGGGCCGCCGGGTGCGCAAAGGGTCCTGGGGGTTGTAGTTTTCCTGAGTGGGAGGGGGATCAGCAGGCCCCGCCCCCAGGCTGAGGACACGCCCCAGGGCGGGGAAGCCGCGGGGGTGGGGGTGGAGCAGCCCCTGCCTGTGGGGGGGGAGGGGGCAGGGGTTCCCCAGCTGCCAACGCTGCCCGGGCTGGCACAGGCCGAGGCAGTGGGGACGTGGCAGCCCCTCTGTGTGGCCAGGGGCAGGGGGGTACCTCAGGTCCCCCCCTCGCTGCAGCCCTCAGCACATGGGCAGGCCAGGGCCCCTCCAAAGGGGGTCGGGGTCCTTGTCCCCGTTGCACAGCCAGGGGCCGCACAGGGGGAAGGGCTTGCCCACACCACAGGGCGGAACAGTCCGAGGCAGATCTGAGACACCGCTCGTACCCCCGGCCCCCCGCTCCGTTCTGCTGGGGCCACCCCGGCTGTTACACCTGGTTCCACTGACGTCAAGGCAGTTAGTCTGGATTTACACGGGTGCAGCAGAGCCCAGCCTGGCCTGACGTCATTCCCAGTTCACTGAGCAACTGAGGGGCGAGTCTGGCCGGGGAGGATAACTCCTACCTAAGTCAAACCAGGGGTCGGCAGTAAGAGGAGAAGTCACTGTGGGACCCATTCTCCCATTAGCCTACGTCAGAGGTTCTCAGACTGTGGTCCGCGAGCTCCATTCAGGAGGTCCGTGGACAGTTCCCTCTGAGGTGCCCGCCTGGGCGGCTGCACACAAGAGAACAAAGGGCCACCCACCTAATTAGTGGAGCCGCACAGGCATGGCTCCACTAATTAGGTCTGGACCCTGGAGAAGATGCACATGTAAGGTGGCCTTGGGGGAATAGGGGGCAGTGGGGTGAGAAGAGGGGGTGGGGGAAATTTTGGACATGCTGGGCTCTGGCAGCCAGAGAAAGAGACGGCTTTCCCCAGCTCCAGGGCTGAGGCTGCACTTTACAACAGCTAAGGGTACAAACAACATTTGGAAAGATCATTAAGTGGTCCGCGGAGACCCTCAGCAATTTTCAAGTGGTCCGCGAAAAAAAAGGTTTGAGAACCACTGGTGCGTGATGTAGGGGAGGGCAGAGAGGGAGCTGGAACTCACCGAGGGCCTTTAGAATTCCTGCCGTGGTGGCTTGGTTCCCCTGCTGAGGAAACCAGGTCCTTCACTCCCGGGTCCCCTTAGCTCATGTTGGTTACCTCCATGACTTGAGGGAAGGTGCCCAGCCAGAATCCACTCCCTCCCAACTTGCACAGCTCCTGTGCAGGGGAAAGGGAGGAACGTGCCACAGAGACAACACACATACAAACGTCCACCTAAGCAGGCAGAGGTCTGCATGTGGAGAGACCCTGCTACGCAGTTTTCAGGGGGATAATCTGGCTTGCAACATTTAAGGCCTGATTTTCAGAGGTGCTGAGCATCCACATCACCAGCTGGATTCAGTGATCCATAAAACCTCACCACCTTTACAAACCGGGCTCCTAGAGCCTGACAGAACATGAGCAATCAACAACACTGGAGGTGTAGGAAGAGCAAGTCATGCCAAAAACCTGGGTTGGTTTTTTTTTTGACAGAATTGACCATCTTTGGACAAAGAACACAGCAGGTTTCTGGCCTTAATAAAGCACCGGATACGGTGATTCACAAAATCATATTAAACGATAGAATTCCAGCTGTCTCGGATAGGAGCATGGTCACATAGACTAGAAACTGCTCTACAAATAACTAACAATAATAGAGCCACAAAATGACCATGGCATATGGACTGACTTGGAGGTGGGTCTGGTGAGGTGCTTCGTGGTGGGGTGGTAGGTCTCATCTTTTCTTATTTATTAAATGAGCTGAAAAAGGGAGCAGGTCACGACAAAATCTCCAGATGATGCAAAACTGAGAGAAGCTGCATCCGCCGGCGAGGACAGAGAAATTATACAAAAGGTCACGTATGTTAGAAATATTGGCAGGGAATTACAGATGAGATTCAACTTGGATAAATGCAGCTGATGCATCTGGGAAAATAAAACCATCTGGGAAAGAGAAACCTAGGAGTAAGGAGCAGACGGATGAGGAAGACAGTGAATGAGGAGAGTGGGCAGAGAATTAAGCAGCAGTTTGCAATGCATTATGCCAGAAAGAAACAAACCTGATTTGGGGCTGCCGAAGCAGTAGCGTGACACGCAACAAGAAGCTGGTATTCTGATGTACAGCCTTCAATACAGACAGACACAACTCTTTTATGAGGCCAGATCCTGATAAGATCTTGCCTTTTTTCTCAGTCCTCACTCAGGGAAACCCCCATTGAAGTCTAACCTCTGACCCGAGTCAGCTACGATATTAACAAAAAAAAAAAAAAATTCACAGTGGATATGACCTTGTATTCTGTCTTGTGGATATGACCTTGTATTCTGTGCCCATAGGATTTGCCACAGAATTCATCCCTGCCACAGAACTGTGTTCCTCAATCTCAGCCTGCATTTCCAACAATGATGTCTCAAGGTCTCTTCTGGTTGTACAGGTAATCTTGAAAACATGGGCCAGGTGAAGTGAAGCAGTGTTTTGGTCAAGAAGCAGCAGGCAGCCTGAAAGACTGGCTCCGAGAAAGGTGGGCTGCTCCATCATCACATGGGGGGTTAATGCCAAAGACTATTTAAATGTCAATATGTTTAACTATTTCACTGCCGATCTTTTAGCTAATGTGCAGTCTCACCATCTCCAGCTGCCTCCTTACTACCCTCATGCCAAAAGCCCCAGTGTTCGTGTGTGTCTCTCTCAAATGCACATGCAGCTCCCTTGGCCACTCCGATGAGTTACATATTCTCACTACCAACATCTAAAGTGTGGGACAGCATCAAATAAATGGAATGTAATATCAGAATAACTCAGAGGACACTGCTGATTGGATTGTGCACTTTCAGATTTAATTTAAAAACTCTCTTTTTAATTAAAATTAAGCTCCTGCCAAATTTCCCAACTGCTGCCTCACAGCCATGCAGAATCCAGGGACCGTGCCAGAGACTCCAGGCCCAGCTTGCCATTGTATACCCAGGGTTTTGGATCCATTCTCTCCTTCATGGAAATACCGGCTCCAGGCTCCAGTGGGAGTTGTGTCTGAGTAAGGACCGGGAGATAGCACCATAAGGAGCTCAGGGTTTGCTCTGCGATTCTGTGGTATTTTGGGGAGTTGACTCCATGTCCCAAAGGATTTTGGGATTCGTATCAGTATCTTGCATCCATTCTTGGAACAAAGGAAACCTGATCAAACTGAGGTTGGGGGAAACCCTAACTGGAGAAGGAGGGAGCCATTGCCCTCCACCTGTTCCTATCTCCTGTTGCAGTAGCCCTCCAAAATATTAGCCCGCCCAGAGAATACACAACTAGATTTCAAGCAGGTACAAAGCCTACACTAAGAACAGGAGGACTTGTGGCACCTTAGAGACTAACCAATTTATTTGAGCGAAAGCTTATGCTCAAATAAATTGGTTAGTCTCTAAGGTGCCACAAGTCCTCCTGTTCTTTTTGCAGATACAGACTAACACGGCTGCTACTCTAAAGCCTACACTGTGTCACACAGACTGAGCCATGCACCACAATAGTGACCGAAACGCCTCACAACAGCAAACACGCCACAAACAACTGAGCAACAGATTTCCACACAAGAGCAACAACGGAACAGCGGAACTGCTAGCTAGTCAGCTGTTACACCAGGTGCAATCCCTGCTGCAGTAAGCCTCCACTTGGTCCCCTAGCACCTGGGAGGAGGGGAAAGTGTGCAAGCACGAATGCATGTGCACCAGGGTATCTCTCACACAATTTGCCAGGACATTGTGAATAATGCATGGCTTTCTCTATTGTGCACAGGCTGTGTTTCCACTGGGCAAGGCTCATGGGCCCGCTCTCTTCCCACAGGAAAGGAGCTGTGGCTCACTGGGCTGAGAATCTCTGGAGGATTTGCTTTGCTCCCCTCTCATGGAATTTAAGGTCCACAAAGATCTTCCAGTCCTGGGCACTTGCCCTCCCGACCTGACACAGGAGCCTTGCAGTTTCTTACTGATCCAGGGCAGGAGTGGGGGGAGGCTCTCGTGGCAGGCGTTGCGGAAGGAGGCTGAGGAGATGCAGAAGAGGAGGGGGTCCAGGGCACTGTTGAGGTACCAGAGAGGCAGTGAGAGGTAGGTCTTCAGCCAGGTGTAGAGCACCAGGATGCTGGTGCTCCAGCTGTGAATGTAAACGTGCATCAGGGATGACGCCGTGTCAGGGAAGTTGCAAAAGAAAAACGCAGCCACCACAGCACCTGCATGGAAGAGAGGAGAGAGATTAATGCCCAGCCGCATAGCACAGGGCTCCTTGCATAATGGGATTATGCAACCATGGAGATGACCATATCATTGTCCCTCTTTTAGAACCTGATGCACAGTTGCACCCACAAACTCAGATTTCATTAAAAAAATGTCTCTCTCTGCCCTTTTGGTTTCAAAGAAAACTTTCAAAATGTGACCCAACTGTGACCAACACAGTGACACCTGCCTGAGTCTGCAAAGAGCCTGAAACCACAGCTCTGGAAGAGAAAAATTACACCTTGTTTATCACGATGAACTTCAAAATCACATTTCCACTTGAATATTTTTAACCTGCTCTTGTCGCAGTTAACACCTCAGCTCACTATAACAGAGAGATCAGAAAGATGGTTTAATTTCCCTGTTTTTTCAGTATTTCTTTTGTACATGTGACAATGCTTTCTGTATAGGTAGTGTCACTATGTCATGTAGAAACAGGGAAGAGAAAAACATTTTAGAAGTAGGAAAATGGGATGTAAATCGGCAGAAATCAGCCAAGTGCTAATGGGCAGAGAGATTACTCTTAAAATGTTTTTTATGTTTACTGGATTTCATCTTGAGGGGTTCCTTGAGATTTTAACCCTCCACACTCAACCATCTCACTGCTGATCGTTAGAAGAATGTAAAGTAAATAAAATAAAA